CGTTGCATAAAAACTTCATGCAATATATTCTCAGTTGTTTTGACGATCGTACTGTTAACGGCTATTATTTTTTCCACGCTTAAAAAAAACATAAAAGATCGATACTCGAATGTATCGAAAGTATTGTTGACGCTTTTTCGCAACGCTGATTGGTTATCGCGATTATTCTGACAGTTTGATAGATTGAGTGCGAAGGTTATTTTGACGGTTATTTAAAATAAAAAAATTTTATTAAAATATATAGATTTCATAATTATTAAATTATCATAAGTGCGCGCGCCTGTATTGTTCTAGTAGCGTAAATAGTAAATTGATCGGTAATTAGAGCAGTTCGGTAAAAGGTACATTTACCTTATGTATTTTATCTTATAATACGTAAGATATTATATTTCACATTGTTAGTGTTTCAAGACTGTTCATGTAGGTAGGTAGTTGTGTTTTTGCGACTACGTCACGTAGAGCTGCCGGCTGGCTCTGACATTACGGCGTGCGAGCAGCTATGCATTCCATACTATGTCCTTGATTTTCTCTAGCTATCTTGTACCATTCGCACGGCGGCGCTTGAACGGGTAGGATCGCTACACACGTGCGTTTCTTCCCCTCCTTCCCACTCCGTACTCCCTACTTGTAAATTCCTCCTTTGTATCCCTATTCCACATTCTTCCACATAACGTGACCGTAATAAGCAACAATTTTAAAATATCAAATAAAGTTCGCACTGTTAATGAACTCTCGTATTTAACAATGTGAATATTTTATTCGTAGCTATTCTCAATTTTGATTTTTACTTATATTAATTATTTTCAATTTTTACTCCTATTTTAATTGTTATATATATCAATTATTGCATATTTACATTATAAATTAAGATAATTAAATTCTCTAAATGCCGTAAAGCGCAATTACATTGCACTTATCATGTGAAGAAAGCATAGAAAACATACTCAAGTAGTATAAGCGTAGTATAACCGCGACGGCTAACGCGCAAAAATTAAGTACGCGTTTTCGAAAGAAAGAAAATAATTGTACTTATTTTTTCATTACAAAAAATACGGATAACTAAATACTTCTCTCTATCGCGTTTCAATTTAAAGTAATTATAAGAATTTTACGACTTGCTTTTCTTTAAATTTCTTTTGTATGACTATAGATTTTCATAACATTATACATTATAAAAGTCACTATTAATCATTTCTCGTAAAAAAAAGTTTAGACCGTTTCTTATAATCGTGCATGTGTGTATTATGGCAATTAGATATGTATATATTTAGATAATAAATTAATAATTATACTCACTAGTTGCAGTAATACAGTTTGTTCTATTTGCTGCAGATTGTGTCAGTTCCATAAAAAAATCGATAAACGTCCACATTTCTACAAATTTCACTTTTCACTTTTACTTTTCACAGTTTTAGATTGCAAATTTCTGACACTGCCATAACAGCAAATATCAAAAGTATTTTATATTGCAATGAGATAAATTGAGCAGTAATAGCTATAAATTGTTTGAGTAATTATAATACGCAATATAATAAACAGTAATTGATAAAATTAGCATTTTGTACAATTATGCAAGTATAATGAATGAATTCACTCACCGGACGTTGTAACCTAGCTAAGTACGCCCACAGCTGTACCTGGAAAAATTAATATATATTTTAGTTATTACAAATTATCATACATCATATGCATGTTGATTATTACATATTATTTAATTATTTCTATTTTAAATAGAATAATTATATTGAGTAAATTGCGTAAATAATTATTTGAAAATTTAATTAATATTCAATAAATGTCTTGATAAATATTTTCAAATATAATAATCACATCATAAATATAAGTTGTGATTATGTATACATATGTGTTATTACACAAATTATGTATATATTTAAATAATAAACAAATAATTATACTCACCAGCTAGATTATTGTAGTGCTCTATCCGCTGCAGATTCCGCCTTGCAATTGAATTGTTCCGCATCAGCTCCATTGGAGAATCGATGAACACCGAAAATTCACTTGTTAGTTATACACACCATCAAACAAAACTCAACTCGTGCACTTTCGCGAAAATACGTCGCAAATTTTCAAAGTACTACATCTAACGAAATGTACACCACGTGAGCACAGCGTATCTCTGCATCGAAACCAGTGATCGGAATCTACATATTTACTGTATCACTGATTCTGCAGCATTGTGCATTGCATTTCGATCCACGGGACAAGAAATCAGTACAATACGTTCGATGATACAACAACCAACGAAATCTTATTAATCGCGAACACTCGCGGCAAATAATACGCGATAGATAATTATCCTTTCAGCAATCGCTCGTCACTTTAATTGAGATACTCCGGATAAAAATTTGCAGTACAATAACCAACAAAATGCCGCGACACGATACATCGTGGAACACTCGCGAGTATCATCAAACCCGCGTTAAATAATACGTTCCGGCAATTACCCACTACTTTAATTGACATTCTAACAAAAATTGTACTCACTTATGCACTTTTAACGAATAAAATACGCGATCAATCGCGAAGCATTGACATTCCGAACTGACATATCGTAGAAGTAAAAACTATGCGTCATGGCAGCCAAAAATATGGCGCGAAAAGTGCGCACTGCATCAATCGGTAATATTATTAATGATCTTAACAACATAGCATTATATTGTTAATAGAAATTATTATAGCGGTTCAAAGAGGGCGCACATTAATCAATATCGATTGACAGTATTGCCAATGCTATGGCATATAATTAGAGCCATGGCATATAAAAAAATGTAAGAAGTAAGACTTGAGTGGTCAGCAAATTGACCAACCACAATCGATTATTTTCAACTATGATTACCTAATTTGTTTGGTACTAAATTTTATTTCTTATGTTTTTTTTATGTTCCTTGGCCTTACAAATTTCTATATTGGCAGTATTACTGATCGCCATAATGTGCAATTTATATGTTTACTGATAGTCAGATCAGAACTCGCGCGCGCGGGAACATTTTACCATTAATCGCATATTTTATCCATTAGAAGTGCATAACAAGTGCAAGTTTTTGTCACGAATGTCGATTAAAGTTGACGGGCGATTGCTGAAATGTGTTATTCAATACGGATGTCACGATATTTGCGAATGTACGAAATTGTATTATTTAACAGTGTTTTGTCAATCATTATACTATGAATTAAGATCGGCACAATGAATATGTTAGTTCCGATACATAAATTATGGACGTGCGGAGTGTACTTTTCGTTAATTGTATTAGTTTAATAATTTAGCTCACCAAAAGCTTTGTGTCTATTTTCGATAATTTTCGCGTGATTGGCTAGATTGTCATTCGTCTCGCTCATTCTAAATACATGTGTAGAAAATGTCAAGTATGCGAAGTGTAACAACTGTAATATCTACATCATGGTACAAAGTTCATTTTTTTCTTTACATTTCATACAACATTCGCAAATTAACAAATTTATAACGTAAATTATGTGATTTCCGTATAAGTGAAGTGCAGTGAGTTTTTTTATTTTCATCGATTCTTCAATGGGACTGATGCAGAGCAGTTTAATTGGAAAGCAAAATCTGTAATGAGTGGAGCAAACTGCAAATTGCAAACTGCAATACTGCAGCTGGTGATTAGAATTATTTGTTCATTATTTAATTCTGTATATAATTGCAATGGCACACACCGATACAGTAATATCTGTTTCTATTTATTGTAATATTTATTGTTAGGTGTGTTTGAAGATATTTATTAAAGTATTTATTAAAAAATATTCAGTATTTAGTAAAAATTTTAAATAATTATACAATTGAATATAATTATGTTTAGAAATAATTCAATAATACATAGTCAACATACATAAATTGTATATGATAATTTATAATAACTAAAATATATTGTTTCAGGTACAACTGTGTACTTAGCTTAGGTACAACACCGGTGAGTGAATTCATTCATTATATTTACATAATCTCTGATATTTGCTGTCATTTTTTCATCTCTCAATACTTTCTATATAATTACTAATTATATAGAAAGTACAATACTTCTCAATACTTAATACTCAATACTTCTATATAATTACTAAGAACAATGACGATCGTATCTTCTTCTACGATTTACTTGTAAAAACACAAGTGTAATATCTAAACAATCTTTAGCTGTTGCTTAATTTATCTCATAATCAGTACGAATTGCGTTTTATCTTGCATTTAATTTGCATTTCGTATATTATGACTTAATTAATCACGACATAAGTCTGTGAAAAGTGGAAGTGAAAAGTGAAAATTTGTGTAACTGCAAATTTTCGGTGTCCATCAATTTTTCGATGGAGTTGATGCGAAGTTTGCGAAGAATCTGCAGCGAATAGAACGAACTACTCTAAGCAATTCCTAAGCCGATAAGTACAATTATTTTTTTATTATTTAAATATGTACATGATTGCGATAACACACATACACACAACGCAATTACGATCGATAATTAAACACTCACATTAGTGATATGAAATATCTGAAATGTTACAGTTGTGTCATAATTAATTTTTTTATTTTAATACTTTACGTAAATGTTATAGATAATAAATGTATGTTACGTAGATTTAAATATGATTTGATATAAAATACTGATAGAATTTTATATTGCAAGATAAATACACATGAAAGATGTCAATGCACACTTCAAAAGTTAATTACATTTTTGTTAAAACATGTGGCATGTGTGTGCGTATGTGCGTGTGGCAATTGTAGGAAATATATCACAAGAGATATTTTCAAGAAATCAATGATAGCACTTACTTTCATTTTTACTGAAAGTGGTAGTGTCAGTTTTTTCAGTGTACAGATGGGCAAGCTTATTATACCAACGCGCAAAACAGTTGCTGCAGAACAGTATTATCAAATAACCAAGGAATAGTGCCATGAGGATGATCGCTTCGTACAACATGATCACGCTGTCCCACATTACAATCACTAAGACGGATACAGATATCGCATAAAGTATAGTGTCCCGAGTTAATATTTTCCACTCTAATGGTATGGCCTGTTAACAAAATTTCAAGTTTATTTACATTATTGTAGGTGCACGAAGAAAGCTTATTGTAAAAGCTATAGATAGTATGTTTCTCGCTTATAAATTGATTTTTATAATCTCGAATTTTAATTATCTTTGATCAGTGAATAAAATTTATGTTAACATTAATGAAATCGATTGCAATGAATTCAATTTTGCTTCAAGGACGATTGAATTATTTTTAAAAAAGGAATTATAAGATAATTTAAATTAATTTGGAATGTTTTTATATCAAATTTTCAAATTCAATTGACTGTATTCATAAAAATAATTTACACTACAATATAGAATATTAAATGACACGAATGAATTTATCGCAATAAATTTAAAAGTAAAGTGGACAATTAAAAATTAAATATCAGAAACAATATTACAAAGTAATTCTGCAAATAAAAATCGAATACATGAATATAAGACATGGAATTACTCATGAAAGTGACCTCATAGTTGACATAATTTTACATACATTGCATTTTATTATCTGATATATCGTAACCAACACTTGAATAAGCACTTTATTTTTAACGTTTATTTTATAGAGTTTAATCAATTTTCCTCTTCACTACACTTAAAATAGTAAGAAATCGATGAATATAGTTTTTTAAATAGTTCAAAATACTATCATAAGAAACTAAAATTAAGTAAAGAAAAAAAATTTACTTGTCTTAAAGTTTAAAAAAATTTACGTCCTTAAAAAATAGAGTGAAGTATTTTTTCAAGTTTATGTTTATATATATATAAACATATGTCAATGACTCATTCCATGAATAAGAGTTTTCTTGTTTTCAAGATAGTAACTTCATGAAACATAAGCTTCTTATAAGATGAAAAAAATTGCAAAAATTATTCTTAAGACCATTAGTCTGAAGTGGAGTGATATCATGTGCATCAATACAATAAAAAATACTTAAGTACACGGATAAAGATTGTTATTGCATTGTAGTCATTTATTGAAGTGTGTAGAATGTAATTATTTTACGAAGAATTTCGTGATATCTTAGTGTACACAAACAAATGGGAATCCCAATATACGAACGTTGTTTTTATTAGCTGCTTTATGCTAAGTGCAATATCATTATGAAAGAGGAAAAAGTCTAATCTAATCTATTTTTCAGTCTTATACTTCAGAGTTATCAAATTTCAATAGATATCGTGAATATTAAATCAATGTTAAAGAATGTAAATTTAATTTAATATAAAAAATAAATTTAATTCTTTATTATTGCATTAAAGTATTCCATATAATTTAATGTTTCTGCATTATGTAATTAATAAATTTTTATTTAAAAATTAAGTGCAATAGAAAAATAATGTGTCTTAATCATTATTTGTCTTGTGTCTTGAGATGAAAAAAATGATTAATACGTATCATTTTGATAAAGTAATTTACCATATAGAAAAAATCTCTGATAATAAAATCTTTGACAATGTTATCGTATTGTATACACAAACGAATGATGGTAGATAAATATTATGTTGCAACAAACATTATTTGCAATAATCGTTAACGAAAATAATCGAAGCTAGTATCATGGATAAGCAACAACATAGATGATATATATCATTAATATCGGTGTCGTATTGATAATGACATTTACATTATAACATGGGTGGGAGTTTCGCGTAAATTATCACACAGTGACCCGCAAAAATTTGTTTATCAAACAGAGATTTTTTTTAATAAATTGAATATTTGGAAATTTAATCATTTTTTTACATATTTAGTTTAAATCTCATTCCATTGTTCTTTATACAAAAACGTATTTGAATAAGTGTATTGAAACTCTATTTCATTTAAAAGAATCTTTTCTACACATTATTGTTAAAAGATTAGACACTCTAATTTATTAGTTGCTTCAGGATAAAGCAGTTGTTAGAATTTAAGGAATTTGCAAATTTCTAAATTTCTTGCTTGTTTCCTGCTTGTTTCCTGTTTTTAATGCCCATAAATATACATGACTCTTATCTCAAATATAGTTAAGTATAGCTAATTGTAAGTAGGACACGCTATTACATTTATTATAGCAAGCTTCTGTGGCACATTATCATTGTTTTATCACGACGCTAATTGTTATATGAATGAGCAGAGCTCAAGTGTACTTACATGGATCGCCGATAACGCACCACATGCTGGGGTCGCAAAGGTGTTGAAAACCGCGCCACCCATAACGGTGCCGACCCCCAGGTCGGATTCGGTCAGAAAAGTGCCGACGACGTTTACAAATAGTTCGGGGAAGCAACTTGCTGTAGCGAGAAAAGTCGCTCCGGCCACGTCAGTGCTGATATTTAAGCGCGTGCATATGATGTCAAGCGCCGGTAACAAGTAGTCGTTGCAGACGAACGCCGTCAGAATGAAGCAATAGAACCCGAAGAAGATATGAAGTATCACTGCGCCCTGACGACGCTGCTCGAACGTGAATATCTCCGGGAACTCGTTGATCGAGCGATCCGTGCAATTCTCCGTTGCATTTTCATCCTGCGGAGTCGTGATTTCGTTGTCGAACGGATCAGCAAAGTAGACCCAATCATTCTTTTTAGTGTCGTGCAAGCTTGAGGATTCTTTGAGAATCGAGATAGTAGGTAGATTCTTGTCTAATTAAACAAGCAAGACGACTATTCAGAAAGAGTTTCAACTGATTGTATCTCTAAAAGATAACGCCCAAACAATTGTTGAATGTACTGTTTCTTCCGAATATAAAAACACTAGTAAACGATAATATTATTTAACTAGTATATTTTTCAAAAGTCGTTTTATATCGTGAATATTCTCTTAACACTTGTTTATGCTCAATTTAACATAGTATCATCAAATTTACATAGCACTGATACTAAATATGGAAATTTAATGATATATTTATTTGAGTTCATCCGTGAAGGAAACACACACAGAGAAAATGTGAAATTATACAACTTTATACTTGTTACTTTCAATTTAATTTAATTTATAAAAATCTATTTATCCATTTATTTATTCTTTTATGTTTTTTAAAGCATTTTTATATAAAATGTAAAAAGTGACATTTTTAAATCTTTTCCTACAAAATGCTAGTATTACTTATATGCATAGTTTACAATTGAATATATTGGAAGTTTTTAAATTACTTCCTTATAAATTGAGAATATAGATTGATGTGATTATGTGTGTAATCTAAATTTTTCGTACCTTGACTATTTTCGGCGAAGTAAAATGATAACAATGTTGATTATCTCGGTTTCTAATCCATGATTATTTTCATTATTTTTACTTATTTAAAATATAAAACGTATTTCTGATTAAGCTTCTGTAATATAACTTCTTTATTTAAGATCAGTTGCTTAGTATTTATTCATTTCAATTTTCTATTTCAGATAATTTAATATACACATTGTCTTGATAATAATACTAAAAATCCCGTTATAATCTGCAAAGATAATTAAACCAAGGTCGCTCCTAATAATATACACGATACGAAACGTCTTCGAGAAATGTGCTATAACCATATAATTTATCTGCAATATACAAACATCCGTAAGACCGTACGAGTGTCTTGATCTCTTAGATAGAAATATATTAGAATATTTGTTATGTCAATCGCAGTCACGCGATTAGATGGAATATAGAATGCGATAAAAAAATTAATTTTTATTCATAAACTTCTCGTTAGCAACTCACCGTTAAGGGAATGTACGATATCTAGATCCACAACACTATCGGCAGGTGTAAATATAAAAATGGCAAGTATTGTCAACGCAATACTGATACTCATTCTCGTAAATATCGCGCGATGTCGTAAGACCACTCGCACGCGATTTATCAAAATGAATTATTAACGATGCAGTCACTCGAACGAAATACGACAAACTGCTGCTTGTACCGCAGTAACAGCATTTATCATAATTCTGTCGATCGAGATCCCACACTCCTTCCTACCAGCATTCCGCCGAGGGCTTTATCTTCTTTAGTCGTCAAGTGAAATTAGATAAAGAACACATAAAAGTTCTCGCAATGATTATCGATCATTATGTACTTGTATCGGGATTATTCTTTGAATTTTGGATTAAATCTTTTTTTCAAAAAAAATTTGAGTTGATTTAAGCATTAAAAGTCGAAAAATTTTGGGGAATGTTGAAAAAAATCGTAAAACACGATATGATGGTTTTGTTAATCTAAAAGTATTTATTTTACAGTTTCTTTTTTTCCAGAGCAATTTTGTGTTATTATACGTGTATTTTAGTGTATCAACATAATCATATAATATATTAAAATCATATTATCACAAGGTACATTTATTCCGGTTTTTCAGGAAACGCGATTTTTGGTTTCGGTGATTCTGATTCCCCTTTATTAGCTCTGTTTGAACGAAGCACCGCGCCTGGACTGGGGTACGGCCTCATTTGATAAAGGGGCCCTGATGCAGTTGTATCGGCGCCGGTTTTAGCTTCGTTATGTCTAGCCAATCCATCTGACCATTTTCCCCTATGATATAATTACATATGAATAAGAATTATAGAGTACATTAATACGTAAACGTAATTTGTAATACGATAGATATATACCTAGGAATATCGCTATATGATGCTGGATCCATAGGATCTAACGTGCGGTCTTTTTTGTCTTTACCGTCGATTTTATCAGATCTTGGAAGAGGTCGCTTAATGTCCGGTCCTTTGTATCGTATATTACGATTTTCGATTTTTCTGTCCTTTTTAACATCATTTTCTTCCACCTAAGAAATTGCAGTTTTCCGTGAATGTTAAATATTTTCATTTTATTATATTACGTTTATATATCATAGATTGCAAATTTACATGAAAAATAGAGTTACTAACTTCCATTGGTTCTTGTTCACTACCACTTTCATCACTTGACATATTATCATCTTGATCGCCTGCTTTTAAGTGCAATTCTTCACGTAATTGAGACGCAGGTTGCGATATTTGGCACTTAGGATGACCCGGGGGTAACCAAGATACCAAATCAGATGACCAATCCCAATAATAGTGTTGTCCGCTGAAAATATAAATTAATCAGATCTATATAGAATGTCTCATACAATGTGACTTTGTAGTAGCATTTTATTTATAGTATTTACAAATAATGTTGTTGAAGAACACTTGTAACTATTTAACAAATTTTGTTAGATTTTAGAAAAGAATCATATTGATATATCTCACTAAATAACAATAAAGTAATATAGAAATAAGATCAATTATCTTATTATTCAATTAATTGTAAAAGACAAAATTATTTTTGGAAACAAAATAGATTTAAACTACTAATACTTACGATCCAGGATCATAAACAGCTTTCCAAGTCTCTGGCAAAGGATATTTTTGAATTAATTTCATTTGTCGCTTTAAATATTTATCCGAAGGTTGCCCATGTCCTAATCCCCATAATTCTTTGCATTTCTTTGTACATTCATGATAAATATTATACTTATTAGGACATCCACTGTAACCCTAAATAAAATATTTTTAGTAATAATTATAACTAAGTGAATTCATATTCTTCTTTGTTTTTTATTAATATAAGCTATGATATTTTCAATGAGAAAACTGAAAGTTTTGTTATCAATTCATGACCACTTTGTTGCTTACCATGAACTTTTGAGATATGTCAATTTGATTAATCTCCTCTTTTGTATTATCATAGTCTTCAGCTATTACTTCTTCATGTACTTTTTTCTTCGTTTCTTTCTTCCCAGATTCTGTAAAATTATTGCATGCAATTATTCTAATTAATATAAATATTTTTTAATAAACCAATAGTAAATTGATTTAATGTGCAGTAAAAGTTTCAGAAACAATTATTGCTTGATTACATTCTTAGAGCTAGACATACCGTGTTTTTCGGATCCAGTGATTAACCCTCTTTTTGCAAGACGTGCAGCTAATGCAGCTGGCAAAGGCATTTTGCGTTTTTCCAATTCAAACTATTAGAATTGTATTGAAATACACAGTATGAGGAGAAAATTTTAACACAGAATTGTAACTCAAATATATTTTACTTCAGACAACAAATGTCATTTGCAGATGTTTACAAAATTACAGAATGCAGCATGAAATAATATATATGTAGAAAGCAAACATTGTTTTGCATTAGACCTGAACGATGACAGTGCCTCTAACGGAAGAATGTAAAGTAAATAAGTATATTCAGAGCGCATTATTATTATAATTTTTATTTTAATAACATTTTCTAATGATAACAATGCTCTTTTAATAATTAATATGCAAATTTTTGTTTTAATTGTCTTATATTGATTAATTGTTCAGTATACTTGTACATTTACTTGACGATACATGCTTGCATTCTGTATGCAGTTACATAAAAATCTGCGAGATGGCCTTAAGTTCACGCGCATCATCGGGTGCGTACCTCTAGAAAAACTGCAAATTTTGTGACGATAAAACGTCCAGTGTCGACGCCCAGTTGCGTGTGAGTGTTTAATTTAAATTTCGTTTATTTCTTTTAATCGGATTACATTCGTTGTAAATAAATGAGGTTCTTGAAGAATTCGGCTTTACGCATCGCATAGTATTCTTATCGCACAATCTCGCCGTACAACGGAGTGTATTTGACATATGATCAAAATGGCGACTTCAAAAACAATAATTCTCCAGTGTGCTTGTGTGCCATTTTGCGACGAGCTTTCCGGTCGCTTCTTGCTCTTGTCGCGATAAGTTTTAACGCCAGTCAGCGCAAGGCAGATTACGCAAAATCCGTACATATACAATCGCATGTACGACTGACTTTTCGAATCGAAACAGTCGACTCTTCCGCACGTCGATTCTGTACCAATTACAACTACAACTTGTATTACAACTACAACAGTATTCTCATATGTAAAAGAGGTTTGCATGCAATAATCTATCGCTGCCATCTCGTTGCACGTACAATTAAACTCATTGCGCGATTATCAAGACCTTTTTATTTTGCCGGCATCAATCATCTCTTTTATACTGCTGAATATGTCTGCCATTTGAAATACAATTTATTAATTTATTTCTTTTTGTAAACGAAGCCACATTGGATTAGTTGATATTTAATTTTATTTATGCCATTTTATATTCACACCGAAGTCGATTTAGATATCAAGAATATTATTAATCTTAATATTAAGAAATCGTTTAACATTACAACACGCTAAATAACCATATGTGAATATAAAGTTTCGAAATAACATGTTTATTCTTATGACTGATTACTTTATCTGATGTAGTTAATGACAATCTGTCATCAAAGGCAATGAAAAATACAATATATATATTTTTATTCATCAAAAGAAAAAAATTCATAAATATTTTTAAACTATTAAATAAAAAAATAATTGTAGATTTGTTACTTTTAACAAAGAATTGATAAAACATGTTATTGTTATTATTTCTGATGAGATTTTCTCACATATTTCAATTAGCACAATTAAATAAAACTGTTATTAATAAATTTGTCACCATTTATAATACATATTGATGACGTTATACATGTTTAATAAGATTTATGGAAAACATCACATCCTTGATGCGATGTTTAATGCGTTGAAGGAGAAAAAATTTTTCTGCAATTTCTAATTTCCACAGGCAACATTTGGGAGATCTCAAAATGCAGACAATAAAATGTGTTGTAGTAGGAGATGGAGCAGTTGGTAAAACATGTTTATTAATCTCCTATACTACAAATAAGTTTCCATCCGAATATGTCCCAACAGTATTTGACAATTATGCAGTCACTGTCATGATTGGCGGTGAGCCGTATACATTAGGATTATTTGATACAGCTGGTAAGAACTGAATTATGTAATATTATTATAATTATATCGATAATAACAATGCACTAACACATTTGGATACTTTTTAGGTCAGGAGGATTATGATCGTTTGCGTCCATTAAGTTATCCACAAACTGATGTATTTCTCGTATGTTTCTCAGTTGTGTCACCGTCATCATTTGAAAACGTTAAAGAAAAGGTATAATATTCATCATGCACTTAAAATTTATTATTATATAGTATTACTAATTGTCTCACTCTTATTTAATTAATAGTGGGTACCGGAAATAACGCATCATTGTCAAAAAACTCCATTTTTATTGGTCGGTACGCAAATTGATTTACGAGATGATGCAGCTACAATCGAAAAGCTTGCGAAGAATAAACAGAAAGCGATTTCGGGTGAGCAAGGTGAAAAACTTGCTAAGGAATTAAAAGCTGTAAAATATGTCGAGTGTAGTGCTCTTACACAGGTACAATAATCATCCTGATTATTTTTAATGTATGGGTTATTTTAATGAGTTTCTTTACTGAAGTCTTCCTAATATTTCAGAAAGGACTTAAAAATGTTTTTGATGAGGCAATATTAGCGGCTTTAGAGCCCCCAGAACCTGTTAGAAGAAGAAGGTGTACCATTTTGTAGAAGGTGTTTGATTTTTTTTATAAAACTGTTAGCTCTACAGTAACAAAGACTGTAAGTTTCTCATACACATTGCATGCAAAAAGTTTTACAGTGACAATTGTTAAATTTTAAGGTATATAATAGTATTTTTTAACATTGGCGCGGCATATACGTGGATATGAAGCAATCTTTATCTTGGTATTACGCAAATTTTATAATTATAAAATCATAACTGTAATTATCGAATTGTCTTTGCCTTGTATAGTGAATGTTATATCAACATTTCATTCTGCATGATCCCCGTATTGATCTTTGGCAAATGTACTATGGACTGTCTAATACAGGGTGTTAAGAAAACTTCAAGAATTTAGGGATACTATAATAATCATATAACACCCGTTTCTAAAGAAATAATTTTGCTCAATAGGGAAATCGTTTTGTGGAATGAAAGAGGTTTCATGTTTTGATTTATAATTCATCATGGATTATGACATAACATACACGTATATGCAAGAGGATAACACGATATTGACTTTTGCATTTTATGATGTATTTTGCATATTAAATTAATTTTTTTATTTTATTAGAAATGAGCATGAGTACTCACCTCTCACTTTTCTGAGCTCTTTTTGTAATAATTTGTACCTAATGTATATATAAATACATATATTACAAATGCAAATAATAAATCATTAATCAATAGTTATAGTTACTCAATAAATCGGTGAATTTTATGTTCTCGATCATAAAATGCAATTACATAAGAAGTATAATAATATATGGTATAGCATACATCATTATTATGGTTCTTCTAACACGGAGGAAAGAAATGAAATTTTATCTCGCTCTTCTGAGTTCATGTATAAACACTCATTGCACATGGATGTCTATACATAACTATGTTCTATTATAAGATCTATCAACTTTTTGGTGGCCATATTGATATATTATCACTAAAACAAATAATTATATTAATATATTTGATTGCTTTAATGTATTTTTATGTTGCAATTGAGAATATTTCTTTTTAGTCATTTATAGTTGTGTATGATTTAAATATGTATGAGATATTCTCGTAATAATAACTTTATTCAACTAGTTTTTGTGTAGTAGCTGAAGAATATTGGTATTGATTGGTTCATTTAATATGAATAGTAAAAATATAATTAATATCCAAAAAGTGTTATAAACCTGTTTTAGTCAAGCTTTATTTCATTCTTATTTTGAATTATCAATGACATTATCTCCATCTCTTTCAGTTAAACTATAATATTTTATTGAGATAGATATTATCTCAATTAGTTATAAAATGTATAATATTATTCAGTAAATGTAAGTATAGATTATAAGAGAATACAATTTTGAAACTTTTAATCTGGGTATTAAACACATAACACTAAATGGAAATTTATCCAATGCTAAATCTTACGCATAATTTCAAGCTAAAAACATTATTTGTATATTATATACATCTGAATCATATAGAAAAAAGGTCCTTTTTTTTTTGTTGAAAATAAAATGATTTGAATATAGTGAAAATATTGAATATCAAAGATTTGCATGGACCAAAAATTTTTAATATTTTGCTTGACGGAAAACCGTTTGATTTGATTTAGAGTCTGCGCCAGAAAATTTTAATATAATACTCATATTCGACTTGAATTCGTATATATGCTCTATCCATATATATCCTATTCATATATGCTATACATTCATATATGTCGTCCATATGGAAAGAGGGTCGAGTCGAATCAAAGTCCGCGAGTCAAGTATGGGTCCATGCAGATCAATATATGGAATATATTTAGCCAATGCGTTTTGCCTATGCTCACAAATAGATCTAAAGTCTGATTATCGTTCCCATTCGATACTGGTTTTATTTTATTGTAGATATCCGTTCTAATTCCACTGCGTGTACTGCAATTTGCCATAGTTCTACTTCCTATATCGCACTATTACGGGTTATTCGGGAAATCAAGTATATTTACGGATTTTTGCAAAACGAGTGGGAAGATTAGTATAATTAAAATTAGTTCACAACATTTTGCTACTAAAGTTTTATCGAAAGTAACCGAACTGTTTGCTATATATCATAAAGAAAGTTACTATGCGAAAAGATGCGAAGTTAAATGGGATTAATGAAAGCAACTGATACAGAATTATGAATTATATTACACATAAAATGAGTTAAAAATGAAAAAAAAATTATTAGTTAAGTACCCGAAAGTTTTTATAAGACTACAAGATGCGCGCACGCGTGTGCATGTATATTATTAACTGGGAAAAATATTTATGTATTTCAACCACTGAGCGCTGACATTTCTCATTTATATACATTGACGTTTGAGTCACTTTCGATTCTAGAAAATTATAAAAATAAAGATATTTGTAATATAAGAATCCAACCCCATTTATGCATATTCCCCGCTATCACGAGAGATGCAGGTTAATTTATAAAATTTTTTAGGGCAAATTGCGCAATCGGACAGGAAATGTTTCGGAGTTGTGTATACAATTATATATTCTGTCACTCCAGCAAAGCGAAAGTTCATTACGACTCCGTGTACCGTGAAAAGCTGCAAAGTTCTCAGCTATTTAATATGTAAGGCGTTTTGAAGAATAAGTTGGTATTATGAATTTTTTAATAAATTTCTTTTTAATATTAATATATATATTTTTTCATTTCGCAATCATAATTGCAACGTCGCGGAGCTAATATTTATTCCGTGCGTTCTTTTTTTATTTTTACGCGCAGCGTACAGTGCTGCGTCAATGTTCCATTTAGTAAATTGTCGCAAATTCCGCAAACAATGCAACCACGAGACTTTGCTACAATTTTTACGATCTGGTTTATCTTCAGTGGCCGTAGAGAGTTATACGTAGTTATAGCATATCCGGCTTGAAACATTATTCAGGCACGTGAAGTTCGATGAATTCGGATGATCTCGTACAACACAATATAGTCTCGCTAGTGTATCCGCCATTGCTACCCATACAAGTATAATTTTTTTTTCCCTGTCGAATGACATAATCCAATTGAGGTGACCACGGCACGTAAATTCAATTAATTGGAGCGTGCTGGATCTTTTATGTAGAATTCACAAGCTGACACGGATATTCTGCAATTTACAACCGGACAATTGTTACAGCCGTTTTCCCCATTTGTCCGGTGAAAAGCGAGAAAATAGCACTTTGTCGCTTTTACAAGCGCGAGATATGATTAATATAATTGTTAAAATTAATAAGGCAAATTAATAATTAGTAATGCAAAATTAGTAATGAAGAGAGAGAGATGAAACGACAGCATTGTTTCAGAGCTATGGAATGTATGCAATTATTCGCATATTTTATGGAATAATTACAAGATGTAATTCCTGAAACCGTGAGCGAGGATCGCTTATGTAACTCTGCATCCTATTATTAATGATTACAAAGCTGTAAATAGAAAAAAAAATACAAGAAATTCCTTGTTCAATGATATATGCTCTTGTCAGGGATAAATGTGTGTATTCGAATCGATGATAGACGTTTTAAAGAACCTTTCAGACCTTCTTGCGCACGCATAGTTTATAAATATTCACGCGATGAATAACAGGCGCTAATTATATTATAGCTATAATTATGGACTAATAAAAGGGTAATTAGGGCAAGGAGATAAACGTGACACTGAAGTAAATCGCTTTAAAAATACGATAAAGATTTTATTACAAACTTATATCGCAGAGAAATGCAATAAAATAACGTTTCAAAATGTGATGACATATAAAAAATTGAGAATTCAAGAAATTGTAAAACTCGATTTTTATTTGAGAAATTTCGATCTTACAAAAGGGAATTTTCCGCATCTATGCGGCTTGTGTTATTTAAAATTACATGGTCATAAATGTTAAAAGTATACAGGAGCCAGAAAAAAAATGCTCTAGATAAAGATATTTTTAAAAATTGATATTGTAAGAGGATTTGCAATTTTTAAGGTCTCTCGAGCGAAAGATTTGACGTTTTTCGCAGGACAAATCTGTAAAAAAATCGCTGTACTGGAAGTTTCTCCTGGGAAAGATGACAATGGTCCCGCTCGACGGAGTTCACCGCGAGAAAAGCGTAATACGTGAAGGACGGCCGCGAAATCGGCGGAGTGCGAATCGAGTGCGGAGCATCTCGCCGCGCCTTTCTCTCTTTCCCTCGGTCGACGTTTCGACCCATTTCGGAGCACGACCGTGGTACACGCTACTCTCCGACGAGGATCCATGATAGCCAGCAACAACTCGGCCGACGTCGCTGGAATGGAAAGTCGTTGCCGGTACGGTCAGCGGGGGCATGGGCGACAGCAGAGCACGGCGGCGGTAGCGGTGGCAGTGGCGGTGGCGGCGGCAGTCTCGGTCGGCGCGTCACGCTCGCTGACGGACGTCGCTCGCAGGAGGAGTGCTAGTCGTGCGGCTAGAGCGAGCGAGGCTGCTCCGTTTCATTGATCCTCCCGTGCGCGTCTCGCGAACTCATCGCGTTTTACTCTACGCGCGGCAAGAGGCTCCTCTCGCGAGGAGAAACGACGACGATGGCAAGACGTTTGCGAGCGCGACCGCGCACGGTCGTCCCGTCGACATCGTTCTCGAGTAACTCACGTTACTCGCAATCGTGATTTCCGCAAGCGGGTGTCCCGGAGCGATTGCCGAATTTGCGACATCGGTCGCGGACAACCGACGGACCCGACGGCCGTCGAAGTCGCGTCGCGTGCGTCGGCGGCGGTCTTCTCAGCATTCGTCACGCGAAATCGATAAACGGGGACGTCGCGAGAAAGAGAGAGAAACGAGCGCACTTACGCGCGCACGTTACAATTCGCGTAGTGAAAGGTGCGAAACGAGGACGAGAGAAAGAGAGAGAGAGAGAGAGAGAGAGAGAGATAAGGTATTTCGAAGACAATTGCGGAGAGCGCGAGTGATAGCGACCGTGGACTCGACTCGGTGGGAATCCGCGCGACATTTCGCCTGGCCGCCGCTGTGGAAATCGTACGCAACATACGGCTGCCGCGCCGAACTCAAGCGCGTGTGTCTTGCCGAAAAATCTCGAATCGCGTTTTGTCCGACGCGTGTGATTCTCCTGTCAATGGAACATTGCGCTCCGCATAGCATAGCAGTATAGTAACCTTGAGACACACCGTCAAGGTAATTGATCTCTGCGGTAGAAGCGACAGCCATCTGTCTTCGACCTCGTGCTGATTCCAGCATCGAACGCAGCATCGGCGACGCGAGCAGCGGCGATTATCCGCGAAATGAAGAAAAGCTGGAGCATGCCGCGATCGATACGCGCACGGCCTTCGCCGGACTGAACGTCCTCGCGCACGCAACGCGAAGCGGAACGCGCGTCTTTCGCTGGGAACACGTGCCGCCGACACGACGGCACCGTCGTGTGTCGGCAGATTGGTGGTCGGTCGTCGCGGCAACTGGACGAGAGGATCGAAGTATGTGACTTCCGCGACGCTCTTGGATCACACCAGCGCGAGGAGAGGGATGTTGCGACCGTTCGACGGCAGGATCACTTAACAGCGGCCGGATCCCGCGTGGTCCGTAACGCGAATACGCGAGCGTGTCGATGGCCGCGCGACGACGGGGTTGTCGGACAATGAACGATAACGCCGACATATAGACAGGTGGATATCGTTAGTCGCGCGAGAAAGTGTACACGCGCCGCCGCCGTGGGAACACGAGCGAGAGGGACAGGTAGGAAGCCGTAGCACAGGTGGCGGTGGACAAGGACGGACAGCAAGGTGAAAGGAGGACGGCCTGAGGGAGGAGGAGACGGAGCAGGAAAAAGAGAATAGCGCTTACTGCGTACTGGGGTGAGCCCCCCTGTAAGTGGAAAAGCATACAATGGAACGGAGGACAGCGTGTTGGTGTAGTATGATGACACAAAGAGAAGGAAGGAGTGAATAAAAGAAGGGAAAAAAAGAAAAGGAGCAGGAAAAAAAAAAGATAAGGAAAGGGAGAAAGAGAGCGGAAAGAAGCACCGACAATGAAGGAACACGGGAACAAACATCCGGCGGAACCGGCGGCGAAGACGCTCAAGTCGCTGCTGAAGAAGCCGGGTCAGACGAAGGCGAAGTCGCAGAAGCATCGCGTGGTGATCAACGAGAAGCTGAACGAGTTCTTCGCGGCGGACTACATCATACTGATCAAGGAGGAGTGTTGTGCCGACTACGACGAGGAGTGCGACTGTTACCAGGAGCACGAGTTCATGCCGTTGGGCAGTTGCGAGGAGTGCCGGGCGGAATTAAATCTGCACTTTGGCATCGACCCCGGTAACGGTAGATACGGCGAGATGGCGAGGGGTGTAGAGCAGGCGCTCTGCGAGAACGCCGCGCGGGATCCTCGCGGGTCCCGCGGCAAGAATCAGCAGGGTCGCGAGGACTCGCAGGAGGACGAGGAAGAGGACGAGGAGGAGGCGGACGACGGCGAGGAGGAAGAGGACGACGAGGAAGAGCGGGAGGAGGAGGAGGACGACGAGGAGGAGAAGAAGAGGATCAACGGCAAGGTGGAGAGGGTGGTGGTAGCGGCAGCGGCGAAGGATGGCAGCGAGCGAGGAAATGTGGATGCGGAGAACGCGGCAAAAGGACGCCGGCCGAAGGAAACCGCGGATTCCCAGGAGGAGAGCGGAACTGCGGTTCCGCCAGCACCGCCGCCGCCGCGACACGAGCAGCAGCAACAACAGGAAACGCTTAGCCCGCCGGAGGGTTATAAAGATGTGTGCTCGAACAACGAGATCGCGAACGAGACGGAGCAGCGTAGCCGCGCGTCCTCCGCATGCACGGAATGCAATTACTATCAGCAACAGGCAACGGGTGAGTCGATTCTTAATGTTACAAGTCGACAACAAGGTACATGCGAAAAAAGATAATAAATATGTGGACAATTTTTTATTTTCCCACATGTTTTTGCACACACATTGAAGCATAAGCTAAATAAAGAGCAATCTTGATTAGATAACTGCGAAAATTGACGGAGTTGCAATGTGATCTAATGATATTTTTGAACATTATTACCTTGTATTCGTATACATATATTCTCTTCAGTGGAAGTCTACTTTGCTCGGCAAAGTTCCTTATTGATTTTCATTTAGATAATGAGAGATTAAAATATAATCTTCCTCTCTTTCTGATAATTTAATAGAAGCACATTTCACTGCGATATATCGAAAGCTACTTAATGGAACTGTGAATCAAATCATTTTTCATAATTGATTTCTGAAAAATAAGCGTACATTTTTCGTTCGTATTGCTTTTAAAACATATTGATTTTATCCGTTTTGCAATTTTTTTTATTCTATAAAAGAGAATGAATGTTAAAAATGAAACGTAATTTACAGTGGATCTTTATACTTTTCTATAAAGAAGGAAAGAAAAAAGTACACAAAACATTGAATTTACAGTTAAATTTAAAGTAACACCGAAGAAATTTTCTTCTGGTTACTAAGAAACTCGTTTCATAATATTCTACAACATAGCGACCGCGTAACATAAAGTTTAACATAACGTTATAAACTGTAGCGCGCACTTGAAACTCCAGAAAACTTCCGATACGCACTACGTCACTGATTAGAGAAAGAGAGAAAGTCTATACTGTCCGTTATTATTGTCCAACAACCGTGTAAAAATATTCATTTGGCTTACAAGAAACATTTGCAACATTAATCTTTTCGGATATTGAACTGTGTTAAATTGTAGCGGACATAAAACTGCATTTTGCTCCAATCGACTTTATCGTTATAAATAATATTTTCGAAAACGGTTTGACACAGAAATCATCCGTTCTTACTAAAAATTTATACAATTATTTCTATTTAATTTCACAAATTTCTATTGATTACATGTAAAGTTTCAATATGAAAATTATTTTACTATTTTATTTTCTCATTTTTTAGCAAATGATATTTTACAGTTTTAAGCATTTTTCCATCTCTATCACATTTTGAATGTTATTTATTTATTAAATACTCATATTATTTTACAGTCACGCATAACTATATCGCTATATTATTTTCAATATATAATATTTCTAAAAATGTTTCTCTCTCTTGTTCAATTATTTATTGAAAACTGTTATTCAATGGTAGTATTCAAACAAAAATTAATGTTTAATAAATTGCAGATATCCATGTTCTCTCGATTGTTAATTATCCGAAATATAATTTTCGTGTTTTTTTTTTTATGAAATCGGAAAACTGCTTAGAGTCATGAAGTGATTTGTAAAAAGGGAATAATATTAAAATTCATGACATTTCGCACTTATTGCGTTACGGATTAATACGATTCGGAATAATATGCTAATAATTCGTATGCTACATATACGAGCATCAATGATGAAAGTAATGATGCTTGCGTATCTAAAGTTGAATCTATCAGCTTTAATGGAAAGGTGCAAATTAGAGGAATTGCATCGTTGCTCAGCTCTTTTCTCACACATAACTGAGGAACAGTCCCACGATATCCCTTCACACAGGATGCGCATATAATAATGGTATTGTTTTTCATGAGTCTAGCCACGGTTCGTAAGCCGTTTAAGAACACAGCAGGATTTTTATGCGCATTCTTTAGAATAGCAAGAAAGATTTTGAAGGGGAAGATTTTGAGCTTATGAATATTATTGTTCAAATTCACAAATAGTTTTTTAATGTTTAATTCAAAAATAATTACAAGTTGATAGAAACGGTGTTTTTTTAGAGTCGGTATTAGGCTGATTTTTGTCATTAAAAATTCGCAAAATACTTGAGCAAGAAATAATTTAAATAACATCATTATCTATATGTTTATCGATTAAAAGTCTCGATTAGATTTATGAATGTATTCACAAAATGTATGTAGATATGGAGTATAGGTCTATTCGCGTATCAACGTTCACCGGAAGCGCGGCGTAGCGTAACTCCGGTACTTCCCCGATACTCGGTAAGAACACTTATATTTCTAACCGAACGTGTTTTACACCGTGGAATAGAATACCGGGGCTTGATTCTTTATTAGGCATCCAGCAGGCATCCAATGTTTATGATGTACAAAATTTTCGAGGCTCCGAAAAAAAAAAGGAAGACAAAGATTAAATTAGAAAGAATAAAGTATGATTAAAAATATGATTAAAAATATTTAAAATATATAACATTTAAATATTTTTAGATACATTTTTATTACGAGATTAAATAGAATTTCAATATATCCTGGCTTCGTTAAATCATGTCTGGCATAATAGTTCGCAAAACACGGACTTTATTCTTCAAATTTGCAACAGGTTGCGGTCTGTATGAATGAGAAAAAAAAATAAAAGACAAGTATATGATGTTTTCGAGTAAGTTGCACTCTGTGTGTTACATCCTCGCTTTAAAAGCGGTACAGATCAAAAATGCAATTCTGGCAAGTAGATTATAAAATGTATCGCACCACCCGTTGTAACATCACCTGAGCCACTTGCGTTTGTATGTTTTATTTCAATTATTTGTTTTTTAAATTAAATATCCGTTTGTGAAACTCATACGGAAATAAAACGTAAAATTATATTTTGCGCTTTGTATTATATTATATAATTTTTTAGAGCGCGCGAGAGCTGTGGTGTGATTAATGCAATTTTTTTCTGCTCCAAATCATTCGCCAACCGGTTCACGAACCAGCTTGATTTTTATGCTACGCAGTAAAGAATGCGTTGTCTATATCGCGAAGCACTACGACAATAGAAAATATATATATATATATATATATACGTACTGTTAGTGAGCGTGCCAGACTAGAAACTGCAGAAGTTATGCAAGCTGTCAATCGCTCGATACACACGGTGTGACTTTGAAAGTGCATTAATATCGATGGCCATCATCGAGACCAACTGTTCCAACAAGGAGACAGCGGGAACTTTCTGTGATTTTGATGACATTCGAATGCCAAGTTTCTTTCAACACAATTCTATCACTAAATCGTTCTGAGACATTTAAAAAAAATGTTTTTTATCGGAATCGCATTTATTTCTAAGAGATGTCGCGTATTATGAATGCACGATGGTTGTACATCAATGTAAGAAATATTAGGCAGCCCGTGTGATCATATTTGATTATGCAAAATACATTCCGCTGTATTAATTACCGCATAATTGCATAATAAGAGCTGAGCAATCGAAAAGATGTTGTAGAAGTTCGGAGCCGATGTTATTACCATATCGCTTACCGCTCTACTTGCTGCCGAACGTAAATGTTTGCATACGTGGACTTAACGCAAACAATATTATATGAAGCCAAGCGTATCGGATTCATTCGGTCTTATAGACCGCATGAGCAATTTTGGAACACGTTTCGGGACGGGATTATCGACGTCTGCATATTTCTGCTACGATAAAATTTTAATTTAAAACTTAAACGTGAATATATTAAGTAACTTTATCATGATAAAATTTTTATTTAAATTCAAACCCGAACGTATGCTATATTAAATCAGGAAAATGTTGCGCGGAATAAAATTTTTCCTAAGCGAAAAACATAGAAAATGCAAAATACAAATGCTTCAGGCTTTAAAATCTTAATAATTGAGAGAAGATACACGATTTCTGATATACCCCGTATATCTTTTATACGTATCTAGTGGCCGTGATGCCTGATAACAGATAAAGTCTCTAATCTTTACCGCTTTAAATTCCCAACGAGATATTGCAGTAGAGAAATGGCACTCGTGTCAGAGACACCGTGAATCCATTTTCCACGACCGTTAACATGGCAGATTTAACGTGCAGTACAATAAATTCTGCTAGAATCACATATTATCCAAAAATTATCCGTGAGTTATCTGGATTTTGGATAACAGTTTTTACGTATCGAACATTACAATATATTTCGAAAATGGGGACAATTGTGGACACACTTAGCGATTTCAGTCTGCATAGAGCATTCAGTTTAACAATTATGATATATAACAGTGTGATAAAAGGATATAAATGAATCTCCACTTGAACCACTATTCCGGATAATTTATTGAAGCTCACGAAAGATACGAGTTAGGGAATACGGTTCGATCTTCTCTTTCATGTTCCAGAGTGTGAGTCGCAAGCGAAGGATCATGGGAGTGAGCAGAACACGCAGGTCAGCAAGGAGCACGATGCAAGAAATTTGCAAGAAAGACTGGATAAGCAGCATCGACCGTCTGTCCCTGGTATATTTTTTTATTGCAAATTACTTGAAACTGTTATTGCAAAATTTTCTGTCTACAAATTCTGTAATAAGGATTCACTTACTTTTGCCTCTTCTTCTCGATGATTGAATTAACGAATGTATTGACTTAAAGATTTTCCGACTACCTTTTAATTACGCTAATTGTTTTAACATGCAGTAACGTTTATTTTTACGCCGCTTATTTCAACGTTACATAAAAGGAAGTAGTAGTAATTTTTTTGTATTTATGGTTTGTTAATGTGTGATAATTAACAATTATTCATCTGAAAATGAGACAATAAGCTCGAATAAGTTACAGGCGCGTAAACGGAGGACGCGAATTTCCAAATAAAAACTTTGCACGATATAACATTATTTACCAGTCAGCGAGAAAATTCAAAGTTTAATTGCATTTGCAATGCAGCCGCTCGTTCGATTCAAGCATACGGTGTAACTTTGTTCGTAGATTTGCATCATCGTTATCTCGTGGAAACAATAACGATGACAACTGTTACGGAACGACGCATCGTACGGGAAATTAGCGAGGAGGAGCGGAAAGATTGCTTCGGGCAATCCGATACGGATAAAGACAAGAACGCTTGCGACGTCCCAAAGGATAACGGTTTCAATTCAGCGCTTTGTCCCGCAACGGGCGCTCCGATGTCGCTGGTTCACGAGAACGCGTCGCAGTTCACTGGACGATGCAACGAGACCGACGTCACGGAAGGCATCGACGCGAATGCCAAAAATTCGCAGTCGGGCGGTGACAAAAGGGAGATGATGGCGGAAGCGGAACGCATCAGCGATCAAACGGCGCCGTGCGAGCAGCAGCCGCGCGAGCAGGACGCGAAAGAGCTGTCCCTCATATTCAAGCTGGGCAACGTCTCCCTCGCCAGTAACAGTCTGAAACCGAATTCCGCAGTGAGACAACTTTTTCCTAACCCGAAGTTCATCTCGCCGCCGCCGGCGCCGGCCGGCAAGGCGAACTCGGCCGGCGTTTGCCCGGAGCACTCTCAGGACGACGAGCAGAAGTTTTTGATTACCGCCGAGAGTTTGCGGCTATTCGACGCGGTGAAGAAGTCGACGATCCCCGGCGGCTCGTACGAGTCGCCGGAGTGCGAGGCGAGCTCCATCAAACGCTCCATCGAGCGGAACACTCTGCGACGCAGTCTGATCGGTAAGTACAACACGGTATCGCGCAAGAAAAATCTACGGCCGAAGAATCTGTCGCTGGAGGAGCGCATCAGGCAGCTCACGTGCGTCGATCAGGACGACGAGAACGTGGACACGACCGATAGCTCCGATAATACCAACTCGGCGAACGACGCCGTCGCGTACGGCGGAGATCTCCCGATACGAACGCCGCCGTTGGGCGAGGAACGGCCTACGTGCGAGTCGCTGCCGGCGACGGAAACCACTGCCACTTTAACAATGGTCCCGACGAGATCCAACTCTCTGACGACTGCGACGACGACGGCGATGGCGACGATGGCGAGCACGATGACGTCCGCGAATACGGCGCACAATCCGATGGAGATGCCGATGCTGATGGCGGATAACACGCCGAATCAGTCCACCTACAGGAAGATCACGGATCTGTTCGCGCATAAAAAGAACGTCCAGCCGAATCTGCCGGATCTCGGGATCGGCCCGGGCGGCAGAAACCTTCTCGCCAAGGAATGTCAGTCGAAGAATCCGTTGATGAAGATGAATTCAGACGTCGGAAGACAGCTGCTGGCGAGTTTGGCGCCGTTATCCTGCGTCGCCATCAACACCTCCGACAATCAGGATGTTTATTACCGGAACGAATCGAGGATATTGGCGTCCGCGAATCGCGAATCGATCAACTACAATTCGGACTCGTCTTACAGTCTGGAGGACATAGAAGCGGCTTTGAACGGCGACGAACGGAAATACGCCGGTCAACCGGACGTGACAAGATGCACGCCGATAGGCGGCAGACCCGACATCGGCGACAACACTGCCGATGAGCTGCTCGCGTTCGTCGAGCAGGACAAGTCGCGGATGGAGCGGATAAAGCGTCGCTACAATGAGACGGAAGAGCGTTACACATTCATTAATGGCTATCATACGGAGGATAAAGTCGCGAATACGTCGAACGAAAATACAAAAAATCACGACGGCAAGGACAAAGCTCAGGCGGACAATGAGGAGGACGACGAGGATGACGAGCTCAATGATTACGGCTTCAATCGGCGACCTTCGGTGACGGGCATTAAACATCAATACGAAGCTGTCAACGAGACTGCTCATCGGACGCGATCCTGCGCCACCCCCGCGGCAAATAACTTCAACGAAGCAAGACCCAACTCGATATGGCCGATGTACTGCGACGTGAACGGCGAGAAGGTCGATGCGACGAAGGCCTTGTTGACCGCCGATACGGACGAGGCGATCTCCGTACCCGCGGATGCGTATCCCACGATGGCTAGTTTCGAAAGAGACACGAACACGATCAATCGGATAAATACAATGCAGCGGCAGATCGACGATATATATCAGACGATCGCCGAGAGCACGGCACAGGGGATCTCCGAGCACACGACTTATCTGGAGAACGCGATGCCACCGCGGCAGTTCGTCAGAACACCATCCACCGACAACGCCGCGCATCTGTACGTCGAGCACAGGAACGGTTACTTCCAGGAGCAGCAGCAGCTGTCCAGCACGCGCATGCTGCGTATCGCTGGCGGCGGCAACGGCAACGGCAACGGCAACGGCAACGGCAACGGCGATGATCTCGCGGGCGCGATATACACGAACACCCTGTCGAAGATGCAGCGGCGCAACCCACCGGTCACGATCGCTAATTATCATTGCAACGTGCTGCCCAGTGGCGCGGTGCCTGCCGTTAATACCAAGTGCTACCGCACTATGTACTTCGTGCCGTACAGCGGCATGTCGGATCCCACGTATCAGAACTTGCAGCGCATCCTGCCGCCGCATTCCTCGCCAAACTACGCCAACCACATCGAGCGATATCCGTATCCTCGTCTGAACAAGACTGGCCAGCAGCAACAACAGCAACAACAACAAGCGCTCTATTACAATGCGACCCGTTCCGTCACGGCGAATCTAAACGCATCGCCGCCCATACCGCCTCCGCCTCCGCCACCTCCGCCGCTCGCGTCCGTTTCCACTCCGAATTCTCTGCCGCTGCAGAACACCCAACAGGCTCTGCACCTGCACATACATCCTCACCAGGGCGCCGAGGACTTCCGATCGCCCAATATGGCGTTCTCGCCCGTACCGCACTCGGCGGTGCATCCCATGCAATTCCACCAGCATCACCAGCACCAGCATCCACATCATCACGGCGAGATGGGCTCGTATCGTATGCCCGTGGTGACGCAGCAGTCACCACCGTCCTCGTACACCGTGATCGCGCCGTCGAGATGCATCCCGGCGAGTAATCAGGACGGTTATCCGCTGTACCCGGCGCACGTGGCGCGCGGCAATGCCACCGCCGCAGCCGCCGCCGCCGCCGCCGCCGCTGTCGCTGCGGACGTGCAAACGCAGACAATTTCCATCGCGGCCGCCTCGTCCTTCTCGTCTTCATCCTCCTCGTCGTCCTCCTCGTCATCCTCGTCATCGTCCTCGGCGTCAGCACTGTCGTCGTCCTCGTCTTCGTCCACCTCGGCCACTGCCACCTCCTTGAAATGCACCGGGATCGTGCCGAATAACAAAAACTGCGAGCCGATCCTGGGAACGTCCTACAGCGTCAATAATGGCGCGCAATCCGTGGCGAGCAACACCAGCGCTCCGCTCGCATGCTCGGCGTCCTCGACGGCGGCGGCGGCGGCGACGGCTATATCCTCGGCGACGGTGATGCAATTACCGCGCGCCGTCAACATATGTCCGATGACGGAGCGCGGGGTTCCCGAGGGTGAAGCCAGCGTCTCGCAGCCGTCCGGTCTGGCGAGTTCGACACCGCACATCCTGCTGATGTCCAACTCCTACGTAGATCCTAACGCCAGTCTTATATCCACTCCAACCAACGCTCCGAATACAGTTTACTACGCTATGAACGTCTGAAGATGAACGACGTCGGAAGATAAATGAGATCTCGAAAAGAACGTCTGAAGAATCTCGCGGAGATTTGGGATGTTCGTACAATGTGCTTGGGACGATCGCATCGCCCGGAAGGTATTTTAATTCTTTGATACCATGTCTCGAGGGACTTTGACGCGGGTTATATATATTACGAAGGTGCGCGTTACCATAGCGATCTCGCCGTCTTCTCCATCTTCTACAGTCGATTGAACGTAGCGGAAATTATTCGTCATTATCTATTGAGGTAGCGACGTTCATTAAGAAACAGTAGTCAATGAGTTAAAGCGCAATCCTTAAATTTGTTTCCGGTTCCGCTTTCGCTTTCTTCATCTCCTCATTCTATTTCATTCTTTTATATTTTTTTACTTCACTCTTTGCGCTTCCTTATTCTTTTCATCCACTTAAAGAGTTCGCTCGCTTTGCCATTTTTTTATGACTGATTTTTTCACGAAACAATGACATTCACGAAACAGTACCGAAAAATGCCTCATTCCCAGAGCGCCTATTTCTTTCAATTGATGAAATGCGAGAATTATATTTTTTCAAGAAATGCGACTGATGAGAGACATCTCTGTGTGGGATCACAAGCACCAAAGTCATAAACGCCCTTCAAAGCATAAGTTGCAAACTTTTCATTGATATATCTATAATAACGATATAGAGTAAAAGATGTATATGTGTACGTGTCACGCTATATTGCACTCACATCAATGCTTTCTGACATTATTTTCATGATTTAAGCACACGCAAATATGTTTTATCGCGATGCAACGATGTTACTTTGACTTATTACTTTACGCTCGTTATCATCGTAATGTTGTAATACTACGCAAACTTTCTGTAGATATCGTCACGTAGATCTGTGGTTTTAGGTTTATTTCTGTGTCCGCAGTATATTGTAGATATCGCGATAAAGATCGGTATTTATGATCTGACGAAGTTGTTAATTGTTTTCAGTTTGCGACGATAATTTATAAAATCGCGTTCGCGAAATCGCTGAGGTCGGAATGTAAGCGTTAAACCGAATTGCGTGTAACGAGACGACAAAGGCCGGCGGAGAAAGAAAGAGAGAGAGAAAGAGAGAGACCGTCGCAGGAAAATACGCGATAAGAATTTCTTTAAGGGAAAGAGACGCGGCAGCTGTACATTCCGCAGTATATTTCGAAAAGAGAGAAACGTCTCCTACCTTGCTTATTTCGTAGTAAAATCGCTTCGAGTCTTCTCCTTAGAGCGGAAGATGCTATTCGTGAATTTCACTTATACGCTTCATGCCAAATTAAAACGTATCAATGCCTCTAGTCAGTATAAAATTAGTCTACGATGTAAGAGATATACGAATGCCAAAAAAAAAAAAAAGAAGAAGAAAGAAAAAAGAAAATATAATTCACACTTATTGTTAGTTAATTAATTTCTTGACGCGCCGCTAACGAGCCGTGGATGCTCCTCCGCGTCGCGTAACGAGGAGCGCTATTCGCGGCCCGTCGATCGCGCGTTTGATGAAACCAAAATTACGTAGCGTATCTATTTACAGTTATATAGAAGCGACAATGTCTAACAATATGAAATTTCTTAATGACGACAAGTATTATGTACGCACAGGGAGTAAGTACAAAGTACTCTGCGATGCTAGAATATTTGTTACGACATGCTCATTCTTGAATTACACACACACCCACACATACACGCGCGCGCGCGCGCGCACACACACATATTCACACATACACACATATAAACGCAGCCACGCGTACACTTAATTAATCTCATCGGGAACTCGTTGAAAGTACAACCGTCATCACGTATATACTCGTCCCCCCCCCCGTAGTTCGCGTTCATAGATCATCTTTATCTACCGAAAGCTCTCGATGGTACGTAGTTCGAATAGACAATATAGGGACGCACGGATCTATTTTTTAGCATAGCCATCTTCCCCGTTGACCGCCTCACCTGTCGAAGCGCGTACCCTATGACGTAAAGTAGCGCCTCCAAGATCGAGGAACAATCGCACGGCCTATATAGTTCACTCGCGGAACAAGATATAGATACTTATTTATTTTCTTCGTGCCAAAACGTTGCAATGATTCGCGGCAGCAGGAAGGTGTATTGTATACAACTCGAAACAAGTTGATACGAAAGGCTGAGCATCTGACAGTCAATTACGGCGAGAGAATTCGTGATCGTGACGGGAACGGGAAAGGTGATTGAACGTTTTTATTACACCGCAGGGATGAGACAGATAACAATATCTCGTTTGGTAAAACGTTAATGGATCGATAGCGATGCGGCGAGCGGTTGAAAAAAATATCACTCTTCTATTTGTTGTTCTCGCGCGAGAGAGTGTTGACATATTGTTCAAATGATTGACTCTAATAGTAGGTTGCTTATCACGGGAATATTTAAGACGAGAGAAAGAGAGAGAGAGAGAGAGAAAGAGAGAGAGAGGCGAATATATTGTGTATAGAAATTACATTATTATTTATAACAGTTGATATATATATAAATATATATTGTATATTATATTATTTATATTTATATATCTCTATATATATATATATGATAACGATTAGGTTTCGTTCTGTTATAACGTAGCGTTGATGCAGCTAAACGTTCTCTCGTGTTACGACAGAATCCGATTGATAGGTGATACGAGAAGTTGATTCGCGGTTCGGTTGGCATAAGGCTCTAACGTATATACACGTGTATATGCACAGGAAGCTGCCTTCGTCAACGGATTCTATGCGTTTCACTAAATTCACGGTTATAGAAAATAACTTTGACCTTTCGCGAGAAAAGGTTGAATAGATATATGAAAGACTCGGTCTACCCATCATTGGCGGTGTATAAATAAAAGTTGTGGTAGGTGTATGCATTCTGCGTAAAACAAATGTTGCATGCCGATGATACAATATAAATCGTATTGACCCGATCACTTAACTAAGATACTTCATTTTTAGCGGTCTCGTAATCGACGAAACGCGCCGTGCGGTGAGGGAACGTGCGCTCATTTATCGTACATCTTATGTCCATTCCTACAAAGATCTTACTTCTTAATCAAATTACGATGGATCACAGGGTATAATCGCATAATGCGATTATTATATATTTTATGAATTTTTATGCCAAAGTTGCATTTTACGAGGAAAATTTAACGATTCTACTGTTATCGATTTTTCCAACGTCATTCAAATTTAATGGATGAGTCGTCGAGGAAGAGGTTCGTCTGTGGTTTTAATTTTACTTTCGAATCGTGTCCATAGATAATGGATTTTTTTAAATATTCGTATTATTAGAATGTTAATGCTTTTCATATTTTTATTACGTGTTAATGCTACTTTTAGAGAGAGAGAGGGAGAGAGATTAGTGATCGATGTGATAAGTATAGTTGCAGATATAGGTCACCGATCCAGAAGACGATTTTATAAAAAAAATATCTATAAAAAATTAAAGTTTATGTTAACTTTTCAGAATGTGATTGAATATTCTTGTTGAGATATTGGCAATTTCTACAATTTGCCGAATTTTTCCCACGATTTTTGTGTTGATCGTGAATTTTTTATTAAAGGGATTTACGTGTACCTTTGAATTGAAGAAAATCGGAATAAGTCGTAAGCCACTGTATTGGCATTAGTAATAGAAGAGAAAATTCTATTCCCCCGAGTTACTTTTCGTATACGCCGAGTAATATTTTTGACGTGAATCCTTGTGCAGGAAACGCAAAGGATTGTCCCTCGGGACATTGTTTGTTTGCTTCTCGCATCCCGTATTTAATCCGTCAAATCTTTTGGTTAGAAACATTGCACGATCTCCCGGGCGAGATCGAAATACCTCTCGCTATAAATCTCGCTTTTTACTCTTGTTCTTATCTCGATATAAGGAGCCAAAGATTTGCTTATTGATTTTATTGTTATCGAACGTGAAGCATATCTCATCGCGAATTCTATCATCTGTTATTTAAGAAATATATCGACGGAAACTATTTTAAGATATAATACGTATAGCCAAATTACAATTTCTAAGATCGTTTGATATATAATTTTATATATATATATATATATATATATATATATATATATATATATAGATGGAATCTTATAAGAATTTATAGATCTCTTTTTTAACGAATAATCGTAAGACATGATTATAAGGATTTTTAATTGTGAAAAGTTCTTATTATTTATACACATTCCTTGTTTATCTCCTCGTATCTCTCTGACATTTTACAAAGACATAAGATTTACCATAAATGAACGCCTGTCTGCACATTGTGAAATGTTATCTCATGTAAGAACGGTGATGCAGACTCTCTTAAAGTCATCGGTTCTTCACAAAGACGTGCTTCATCACGATTCGTTCCGATTATAACGAACAACTGGGTAATTTGCGACGCGAAGAGTAGGTTAGCATGTGCAATCCAAGTACTTGCGATGCAGATTCTGGTTTCGCGAATATATTCGCAGCAATTGAGAATGTTTGAAATATTCGCATGACGCGTAACTCGTTCGAGGCAAATGCAAACGACACCACCAGATGTAATAGCGAATCGAGCAGTAGATTATAAATAATGTATTAAGCTATTTCATAATCGTTGTACTCTTTACAGTTAGAATTGCACGCATTTCCATGACGCGAAATATATTTCGTCTGAGGAAGCTCTTCGTAATTCCACTTTTGCATAAAGAAGAATCATAATGCAGAACTGATTAATGTGTCACGCGGTTACGAGGGAGTAATTTAGGGAGTATTTCTGCATCCCATTGAGAATGCTATATGCATCCGACGAGATGTGAATTCGTCTCGACGGACAGGTGAATTTATTTAGAAACTCTAGCTCTTACGTCAGATACTAATTGTAAATGCGAATGTGCGGAAGAACTCGAATCTGTGAAATCGAGATTATTTTCTCAAAAAAAAAAGAAAAAAAAAGAGGTATAATCGAATGTTTGCAATTTCTTAGCGCACTCATAAAAGAGACATGCATGTCGATCCATTCCTTAGCGTAACTAATAGATCTGAATGTCTTACTACTCATGAATCGATAAGCTCTCGAAATGTCTATTCGTATCATTCTCATCTCATATATTCGCAAAGACCCCCCGTCGATTATACAATTGTAGTTTGACGATGTTAGCGGCTATTTTGTATGGAGTTTTCCCTTAATCCTTAACGGTCTAAACGGATGCGACTTAACGCAACAGTTCCTCGCGATGAGTTGATGCACTTTCGTCATTCGACGCATTTGGAACGGAAGCAAATGTAATGCGCGATTCGAGATGGACGGAGAAAGCATAAGAGTAAAACAAAAGTACGAAGGCGGTACGAAAGGATCTTGCGATGTGAAAAGAGGAAATCAACCGGGTTTCACGCATGCTGAATGCGAGAGAAATTTTGCATAAAAGGGACGCGGATCGTTAAGGATTAAAATTTTGTAAAGCAAATATACACGGCCCATTAAAAGATCCCCAAAAGCGAAGTTTTTCATCGTGTCTCCGATCGCGTCGCTCATGAGGAACATCACGGTGTAATACCAAAGTTCCCATTCCGATTCTGCAACGTACAAGAAGCAATAGAAGAAGTGCCAAAAGTTCGTTCCATTCGAAAATCTCAGTAACACTGCGCACGTTCACGGGATGCACTACTATTGAAGGAGCCGATTGTCGATTGCATTTCTGTAATTAAAAAAGGAAAGAAAAGCGCGCGAGGGAGATGACCGATATTGGAATTCGCGGTTGGTCGGAAAAGTGGCTTATTCGTGGATAGACCACGAAATACTAGAAGTTATATTGCGGAATATGATATTGCATGAATTTGCGGTTCTGAACTTTTTTCGCGAGCGGTAATTGTGTGCGCGGATGCGATGCGATATATTTGAAAATCCAGAATACATATTTTCTACTCGTTAGGAGATTCCGATAATATGAAAAGGGAACACAAGCCATTTATAGACATAGAATGTCATTTCGATTAAGTCATTCTGCTTGTCGAACAATATTTATTAATTCACTTGGTAGCTTTTTAATTTTACAATTTAGGGGAAAAAAACATTCAAGAAATCTTACTTTTTAACAGCTCGAAATGATTTGTGCATGGAAAAATGTTTTTTTTCTATCTTTGCGATTATAAAAACACGCCGGTATTAAAGAAATAAAATATAAGTTAGGCAAACATAAGTTTTTTCGCAATGATCGTTTGAACTTTTGCGACGTTGAAAGAATTAGAAGTATTTTTGTTATCCGACGCATTTTCTATTGTACTTTTAATATCACATTTATCCTATTTACTCTTCGTCTCACATTGCAAATGAAACATACTAGAGATTTGATGTACGAGATGAATTTTACGGAAAAAGTTGTAATAACGGCGATGATAAACTGTAAAAGTTATATAACGCTGTGCATGAATATTAAAACTGGCCAAATATCTCAATGATACGTACATACCAAAGAGAAAAGATTGACAGAGTCACGGAATAGAGACTGAACAAGGAAGGGACTTATTTCCAAAATCTCCAGAATAGTTTAGATTGCATCGCGCGTGTTTCCCAAAGCGCGGCAGAAGCACATTCTACTCACGATTGAGGTGAGAATGCGATGCGGTAACAGCGCGGCGAACACAATAAATGTTGATGAGGAGCAGGACAAGCGAAATTGCAAGCGGAATGATAAGCGGCGATTTTTTTGGTAGTGAGTATACTTCCATTGTGAAATACTGGATTATTTAATCGTAAGCGATAATGGAGTAGGTATGGAATAAGCGTCCAACCGTGTACCATCACACACAACCTGTTTAGTCTTCTGTGCACCTATTTGTAATCTACGGAGGTAACCACAGGCGCGCCAAGTCATGAATATTAATGGGCGAACTTAGAAAATAACCATAGACAGCAGTATCTTAGCTGGTGTATCACGCTACGAAGAAAAAAAATTAATAAATCATGTAAGGCTGTAGGGAAATAATAGACACATCGGTGCACGAATATAAATGATTTTCATTTAAATTCAGGCACTTTTATGGCAACCAGTGGAATACATATGCAAGAAAATTTTACATGTATATTAACTCAGATGATTATTAAATAAAATACTTATAAGAAAATGTATATATAAATAAAACTGCAGCTATACATCATTGTACTATTCACGCTGCTTGGTTCTCTTTCAGCCCCTCGTCATGCTAAATTATTAGTATTTCTCTAATTCAAGCAAAACCCACTTGATTAATTGAAAATACAGTTTCAATATTTATTGAAGATTATATAGTTTGATCATTTGTATTTACTTTTGTAAAGTTTGTTTTAAAATTTTTTATTCTCAATTGTTAATGATCAAAAAATAGAAATATTGTAACATTCTCTATATAACAATTTAATGCAACTCTCTGGCTTACATAAAATATTAGCAGTGTTGGCTAGACATAAATTTATCAAGATTGAACAATTATTCAATGGGTAATAATTTCTCTTGTCGATAATGATCGACAATCGATAATTACCGACAAAACGCTGGTAATGCCAACAACGATTATATCAAATATCGGTAATGTCAGCAATGATGATATCGAACGATGATAATTTTCAGCAAGTAATTTGTTACCTTAGGCTGTCAGATGGCACCTGGAGCAGCTCGTGCGACCGGTGCCACCGCCCTTCGTACATCGCGCCCTCACTAGACCGGCCCTACGTTGCGGTGCGACCGTAACAGTATGCAACTCAACGCAACGCAACGCAAGATAACGACGATGATGCATTGAGCACCACTGCGCGAATCGCGTAACTCGCGCCTAGGTTGAGACATCGGTTGTGACCATCGTGACCGTGAGTGTGTGTGCATGTAAGTGCGTGTGTATACATGCGATGGTTCCGATTCGGGGATCTCGTACGCGCTCGATGGTCGAGCATCGTCGCGCACACGTCGCCGCACCTATGTCGGGCGGCGCCGCGAGATCGGCGAGCACCGCCACCCATTAACGACGACACTCCCGTCGTGCCCGTCGTGTTTCGCGAGGAAGACGTTCGGTCGACGGAAACGACCGGCGGAGACCAAGTGGCGGTGTGTGTCTCAGTGATCAATGAACTCTGATTGACGCGTGTCGAGGCGTGTGCAGTGTTAGGAGCACACCAGCGGCGACCCGGCGAACGTATGTACGAATATAAATCCTCGTCTCGCTTCTCATTCCATCTCTCTCTCTCCCTTCCTCTCCCTCTATCTCCCGCTCGATTGCTTCGCGATTTATGATAAGGCTACGAGTTCCTCATCGTCGTGCGAAAGTTCTCGCGAAGCGTCAACTATGAGCGTTCGCGAGCTCGTCGCGGTTTCTTCTCCGCGACGACGACGACCTTACGTCGGCTTCCATTTTCGGTACGCCGCACCGAGGAACTCGCAATTACAACGACCACGCACATATGGACGTGTGCGGGCGCGATGGTGGATAATCCGCGCGGGGAACGAGCGCGTGCACGCATTAACGCATCTCCCTACTCTGTCCGATCCTTACGTCAGTCGTATCGCAGCGTTTTTCAACCCTTTTGTTCGGAGCCAATCAGCTCTCTCTTTCTCTCTTTCTCTCCGGTACGCTTCGTTTGGCGCACAGCCTCGCTCATCCGCGTTCGCTTGCTCGCTCGCTCGCCTTGCTTGCCCGTACGCGTTCGGACGATTGGATTAATCGCACGACGCGCGAGCGAGCAGTCTGTGCGACGCGGCGCATCATCGCGTACATAATTTCTCGCGGGCGCGAAATGCGACGCGTACAACTCGAGCCGGAACGAGGAGCCGCGCACGCGGAAGCGACAGGAATCTCGCGTGATTTATATCGCGGTGCATTATGTAAACACATATCGCTCGGCTAAAGTAAATATTCCTTCGGATTTTATTGGAGCTACAAGCACGTACGCGTTATCTCACGTATTCGATAGTCGAAAGAATGGAATGTGCTTTTGAAGGAACATGCAGTAACAGTTGAAAGTTGAGCATATAATTTAAAAGAAGCGAAACTCGTATATTCCACTTTTTGCAAGACTTTACAATTAATTGGATTGTATATTTTTATTCAAACACTAGTTCTCTTATATGATTCTTTTACCTGGAAATAATGCACTATATTTAAGATAAAGCAGCGATTCTAACATTGAAGAAAATTGGAGAATGTGAGTTTTGCTTCTATATCTATCGTTTGTAATTATTTTTCAAAATGCAAATTTCTTTATCTTTTTTTCAAGTGTTACTTCGATTATCTATTCATATATTTGTTTTGTTTCTGTGATACGGAATCTTATTATACAATCTAATATGATTAGCCAAAACTGGTTTATTTAATATTACAAAGTCATTTTCTGAATTTATCAACAACTCAAACTCATTCTGGTCACTCCAATGTTTTTTCACTCATAGTTTTGCAGATTAATTTTGCCATTATTTTCATTTTATGGCTCAACTTTGATCGTCGCTGTCATGATATGTAAATATGTTAGTTTCTTATCTCATAATTCTTTTATTACAGATAATGACATAATACAGATTTATCGATCGAACGCTTTGAGAAAGCACGTATTAACAGTCGCTCCGTAAAGTAAAGTAAATGACCCAAAATGAATGATATAGAAAGTTTTGGCATGAAGGGAGCTGGGTCAAAGATGCCTCACAGTCATTCGACTCCAGCTGGTGTGGATGGAGGTAGTAGAACACCTCCTACAACACCAAGAAAAGCTGGAAAAATGCTCGCAGTTCGTGTACAGATGTTGGATGACTCTATTACAATGTTTCAAGTGCAGGTAAAGATTACCTTATTTTTAAATTTCCTCGAGTACTTCGACTGCTTGCAACACGGTATCTAGAACGCATCGAGGAAATTAAGTAGCGAAACTTGTAACGGTAGGAAGTAAAAGTCAAATTTAATATACTTGTTAAGTTTTAATAAGTTTGTTGTAGACTTGTTTTTTTTTTAATGCGGCGTCCATCCCGGGAGTGCGAAAGTTTTCGATTTAGAATCCTAATGATATCCATTAATAAATATGAGCTAAGAATATTTTGCAGTCTTGCTTCATGCGACTTAATAAACTTTTTTCAAGGCTTTGGATACATTATTTATAAGATATGGAAAACGCGTATGGAAATGTTTGATGTATAGTATTTATGAAAACAATCTTTTGTGCTTTATAGAGAGATCACGAGAATAAGTATCCTAAAATAGCATTGAATGACGTTTGAATATCTTATTGTACCTTTATAATTCTACAGTATATAGCAATTGAATGTGTTTCTCCGTTGTATTATTGCATTCACACTGTAAGCTATTATGAATCTATGTTATATATCTGTGCGTGCTTTGTCTCTCTCTTTCTTTCTCTCTCTCTCTCTCTCTCTCTCTCTCTCTAAATATCAAATCTGAATTCACATATATCTCTCCGACGGTATAATCTAATCTTCGTAAAACACACACATTATTTACATACGTTTTATCAACCATCATCTCTGAATTTTGTTGTGCCATAATTATTTCCATTTTTTTTATATAATAAAAAATCTATGTATGCATTATTTCGATCGCTCTATATTTGCTGCGTAGGCATGTTAAACTATTTACTTCATGTATCCAGGTCAAGAGTCATTGATTACAGAGCCCCTTAGAATCTTCTCTGTGAAGCCATTTAACTTCGATTTCTAATACGGAAGAATTTGACTTTCATATGCAGCTATAATTTCAATAATGCAATTGTGTTTCGTTTAATTATTGTTATCTATATCTTGTAAGCATTATTAAATCGGATCTCGCACTCTTCCGAAAACTTTTGAGAGAATCTGGGAGTTTGTGTCAGTAATTGAGATAATTTATTATTTAGATTTAAAAATTTATTGACTTATTATATATTTTTATATTGACAAGGTACTTGCTATGTATGCTGTACAGTGTGTGCATATACTTCCAGAAGAATGAGCTATTAGAGCATATAACGTATCAAATGGGGGATCCCTGTGTGTAAAATATGTATACTCATTTATTGATTATTTATTTACAATGCTTGCAACGTGTTGCTTATTTCTTCTAAGAGATTTAATTTTGTTCTTAACTTTTTGCGATGAAAAAGAACAATAAGATTACTTTATACATTTGTAGCTTTTAATTATATGGTTTGTTTGATATGTTTCGTATAACTTAAATATTTATAAAAATATAACGCGACCAAAATATGAAATATTTAAAAGTTTTATTATTGAGCAACTTGAATATTAATATTTATAATAGTCGTGTCACATTTTTTTTGCAAATATTATTTCAAAATTTCAGGCCAAAGCACTAGGCAGAGTGTTATTCGATCAAGTTTGTAAGCAATTGCATCTGTTGGAAGCGGATTACTTTGGTCTCGAATATCAAGAACCGAATTACACAAGAGTAAGATATATTCTGAATGTAAATTTTCAGTGTTCCTCAATGAGCAATTTAATCAAAAATTACGATGTTTATAGTATTGGTTGGATTTGGAGAAGCCAGTGTGCAGACAAGTTGGTCTATCTCTAATTGATCCTTTGTTGAGGTTCTGTGTTAAATTTTATACGCCAGATCCTGCACAGCTCGAGGAAGAGTTTACAAGATATTTATTCTGTCTACAAATCAAACGAGATTTAGCTCAAGGTTTATTGCAATGCAATGATAACACGGCAGCATTGATGGCTAGTTATATCGTTCAGGGTAATTAACTATAATTATATTATAGTTTCTTCTATTATTCATTCTAAATTTAAACATATTAAAAAATATGAATGCATTAACTATAAACCCCTGTCGAGCTGGCTCTCTCACCTTGCACAAATAAAAAAACCAATAGCGCAAAATTATAAGCTATTTATGAGCTTTCATATTCCGCAAATTAAAATTTTTGAGCTCGTCACGCTGAGCATGAATTTAATGTTTTTTGTGGGGGGAAAGGGGGGGTTGAGTCGATATCAAATAAATGGATAAACGATATTTAGTTGGAAAATAATTAATTTTTTCATTTTAAGTATAGTTCTCTCTTGTGTTGGGAAGATGAGAGGTGGTTTTTTTGTAAAGGGGTTGCAACTCAATAATCAAAATGCGCATATTTTAAAGGTTTATTCTTGGAATTTTATACTACGTTTAAAATATAATGTATTTTTTCTTTTTCTAGTACTTCTTTCTTGAATTCCATCAATTAAGGGTTGTTTAAGGACTAAGGGGGTGAGCTTAAAAATTGAAACTATATCAGTTCAAAAGCTCATAAATAGCTCTTAATTCTACCGCAAAGATTGATCCAATATTTTTATTTTAAGCGGTGGGGGGGCTGAGCCGATATCGATCATCAATTAAGGGTTGTTTGAGAACCAAGGAGGTGAGCTTAAAAATCGAAACTATATCAGT